CCTTTCCAGATAAATCTAACACATAGGGAACAAAACAAATAACAGAAAATGCCCTGACATGGTTAACTACACCTCAACAGGCTGGTGTGTCTGCGTCTACAGCAGACAACAGTTATGTCAAAAAGATTTTTCTCTACATGGGGCAAGGGGAGTGGAGTTTGCTAGGATTTTTTTTTTTTTTTCTAAAAGGGAAAGCGGGAATGATGCTAGGATTCTCAAAAGGGAAAAAGTAATGCTGGCGTCAGCATTTGCTTGCAGTGTGGCATCCCTTACTGGAGTGCTGGTTAGAGTCCTGTGTGCTTCCGACCCTGATTCCTGCTAATGTGCCTTGAACGGCGGTGGGAGGTAGCCCACACGCAGATCTGTCCATCACCGGATCAATCTTACAGAACCACCGTGGGCACAGCACGCCTTGGTAACAGGTAATTCTATGTACATATTTACACAGATCTCTAGGTGTTAACACTTACTAAGAAGTCAAGGAATCTATATACACACACACACACACAGTTGTGCAGAGAGGCTTGTGTTCACAAACTACAGGTGGGGCGTCCTGTGGGGTTGCAGTGGGAACTGGGGGCAGGGCAACATGCAAGGAGACTTCTCACTGGGCCCCTTGTACCTTCTGAGCTTTGTGGGGGATTATCTCCCGATAATGAATAAGCCCGATTCCTCCCATATTTCAGACATTCCTGCAAACACACGAGCGCGGTCTCCATCTTAAGATCCTTGGGGTCACACACAACAGATCTTCCCACACATTCCCTCTGGGGATGGTCACCTGAAGGGCTGCCCAATCCTGAAACCTTCATAAGTCAGTCCCTCAACCCTCAGTCATCCAGTCCTAATTTCCCAGCTCTCAGTCTAGAAGTGCGGCCTCTTGCTGTTTCTTTTATCTTCCTGGTTGGTGGCTACAGGCAGGCTTCCTCCTAAGGCTTTCAACTTGATTCTTGCAAAATCAGTCTGGGCAGTGAGGCAACCCAAGAACATAAGGTGATGGTGGGGAGGGGACGGTGGGAAATCAACATCCATCAGGATTTTTCTGCAGATACCACCCTGTGTCGTTCTTTGCGTCCCCCATGATGCTCGACTCGGGCCAGAACTGTCCTATTTTCCCTTCATGAGAATTAAAACAAACAACAACAATTTTTTTTTTTCTCTCAAGAAACAAAAATACGCAGCTGCAGGATTGACGCGCAATTCCCTCCTGCTCCAGGGAGCTCCAAAAAGAAGGTGGTTTCTGGAAATGGCTGCCTCCTCTGCCTGCCCCCCGCGTCCCCCACGCGAGACCATCACTAGCTACTCCCTGTCTTTCAAGCGGTCGCAGCCGAGCTCGGCAGCCAGGCGACTGAGCGCCACAGAGGCGAAGAGGTCTTCGATGAAGGTGAAGTAATCCAGATAGACGTTGGGGTAGCGCGCCTGCCAGCGCGCATCGCGGGCCGCCTCCCTGGCCCTGCAGGCGTCCATGAACACCCAGTTGGGTTCGTCCAAGCCCCGGAACCGGCCACCGTGGGCGCGCGGCATCTCCTCCCCAAACAGGGGCTGAGGTCGCCCCCAGTCCACCGGGAAGGTGTCGGCTTCGCGCTCGGTTCCGGAGAAGGCGGCCGAGCCCATGCACAGCTCTCGCAGGAACCGGGTCCTGGACCGACTTTCGGGGGTGTCGGCCAGGCGCACCCGCGCGGCGGCCATCGCGGGTGCGCCCGGGCCGGAGGCCGACCCCGGCTCCGCTCGGGCTGCGGAGCTTACCTCGGGCCGCGGAGCGTCGCCCTCCGCCGCGTCTCTCTGCGGGACGCCGCTGCCTCCGGGGAGCTCGGACATCGTGCACCGCGGGAGCTCGGCGTTTGGCAGCGGCCACCGGAGCAGCGGAGAGCGGCGGACGGTGTGGTCGGGAGCGCGGAGGCGCGTGCGCGTCGGGGAGCGCGCCTGCGTGCGCGTGCATGCGCCTGCGTGCCGACGCTCGCGCCCTGAGTGACTTGGCAATCAGGAAGATGATTTTATTACCTCAGGGAATGTTGAGTCTGGAAGAAGTTGCCCTAGTCTTAAGAGCCGCTTTCTATTTGAAAATAGACATCGGGAGTGCTCACCTTGAACGTGCTGGGATCCCATTTGGGCACTGGTTCTAATCTCAGTGGCCCCACTTCCCATCCAGCTCCCTAGCAGTCGAGGATGGCCCAAAGCTTTGGGACCCTGCATCCGTGTGGGAGACCCGGAGGAGACTGCTGGCTCCTGGCTTCAGATCGGCCACTTGAGGGTGAATCAATGGACGAAAGCTCTTCCTCTCTGTCTCTTCTATTTGTATATCTGACTTTCCAATAACAACAGAATACATCTTTTTTTTTTTTTAAACAAAGGTACAGGCTATAGAAATTCATCAGGAGCTTTCTCATCTTAATATAAAAAAAGCTATGTACCATCTGTATTTAGAAAAGTAGAAGAACCTGGAGGGAAAGAAATGAACGTCTCACACATGACCAGCTCTAGGATAGGCTCTGAGAACTATTGAAAAACATTACATATCTTCTCTTCGTTGAGATTCTTCCAGAAGTAGATCTTGAGACTGGGGAAACGCAAGAGGTTTATCTGGGAAGAGAAGGTGGTACTGGAGAGGGATTGGGGAAGTGTTATAGGGAAAGAATGCTGCTGACCAAAGGTGTGAAGTCAGCTGGGCACTGCACAACTGAATCAACAGTTGAAAAATTTCTTCCTCTTTCTTTCATTTGTTCCCTCTACCTCTCTACTTCCCTGCCTCCTTCCTTCCTCTTCCTCATTCTCTTTAATGGTCTGCCTTTCAAATAAAATTTCAATTGAAAAAAAAAAAAGAGAGATGGATACATAAAGAAAACACACAAAAAATTAAGAGATTCCCATCTACCTTGCTTGTCCCTCGTTTGGAAGCAGAAGGCAGGGCCCATGTTATTCAGCACCGTGGACAGCACCATAGGGCCCTGCAGCTTTGGAGAACTTGGTATCTATCCTGCTAGACCAGAACCGATTCTGAAATCTTAAGAAATTATTCATTCTTCACTTGAAAGGGAGAGACACACAGAGAAAAAATCTTCCATTCACTGATGTACTCCCAAAACGGCCCAGATTGAAGTTAGGAGAGTGGAATCCAATCCAGATCTCCATCATGGGTGGCCAGGGTCCAAGCACTGGGAACATCTTTCATTATTTTCCCAAGCTCATTTTCAGAAAGCTGGATCAGAAATATGCGAGCAGCCAGGACTCAGATCTGATCTGAGATGACAAGGTCACAGGCAGCAGGGTAACATGGCTCCGGAATCTATTCTTTTGGAGGTTTCAGCACAGTCTATGCAAAACTGAGGATCTTTGAAAAGGGAAGGCTGTTGGCAAGTGAACTAGTACAATAAAGATTTTCTCTCTTTCTTCCCTGCCTCTCTTCCTCTAATTCTGCTTTTCAAAGAGACAGAATACTTTTTTTTTTTTTAAAGATTTATTTACTTATTTGAAAGCCAGATATACAGAAGGAGGAGAGACAGAGAGGAAGATTTTCTGTCCGATGATTCATTCCCCAAGTGAACGCAATGGTAGATCCTATGCTGATCCGAAGCCAGGATCCAGGAGCTTCTTCCGGGTATCCCAAACGGGTGCAGGGTCCTAATGCTTTGGGCCATCCTCGACTGTTTTCCCAGGCCACAAGCAGGGAGCTGCATGGGAAGTAGACTGCTGGAATTAGAACCAGCACCCATATGGAATCCCGGTGCATTCAAGGTGAGGACTTTAGATGCTAGGCCATGGCGCCAGGCCTGAAACAGAATACTTTTAAAGAAAGATTTATTTTATTTTTGTTGGAAATGCAGATATGCAGAAAGGAGGAGAGACAGAGAAGATCTTCCATCTGATGATTCACTCCCCAAGTAGCTGTAACGCCTGGAGCTGAGCCAGTCTGAAGCCAGGAACCTGGAGCTTCTTCTGGGTCTTCCATACAGCTTTGGACCATCCTCAACTGCTTTCCCAGGCCACAAGCAGGGAGCTGGATGGGAAGTGGAGTTTCTGGGATAGAACCGGTGCCCATATGGGATCCTGATATGTTCAGCTGAGGACTTTAGACGTTATACTATTGTGCCAAGCCCAGAAATAGAACAATCCAAAAAAAAAAAAAAATGGAATTTCCACAAAAGGAATTACAGGCTAAAGATGGGATCCTTGATTCATTATGAAAATACAGAAATGACCAAGACTGGGACAAAGAATATGTAAGGAGGATATTGTGCCTTAACAAAACTCAAGCGTTTTATTTTTTTTTGTCCTTAAGAATCTTTATTTTTCTATACTTACTATATTTCTTTTTTTTGTATTTAAAAAAAATTTTTTTTGACAATCTTGACATAATTAGGATAAAAAGTTTCAAGCGTTACAGGAAGATGGGCAAGACAATTAGTTCCATAATTTTTCCTTAATATATCTGAAAACTCAAGAGTTTAGGAATAAAGAGGATGGCATTGCATTCAGATATGGGATGAAACTGAAGAAAGACTTGAGGGAGATCATGACTGATGTGTTGGTATCTCATGGTATTTGGGTGTTGGGTAGAGAGAGAGAAAGTATCTGAAACCTCCCTTGGCCTATTTTTGGGTAATACCTTATCTCTAATGAAGAGTTCTCCAGATTTTCTAAGAAGCAGGTGATCTGGGCACTTCTAGAAGGAAAGGGCTGTAGCTCTTGGCAGGAACTCAAAGGGTAAAGGGTGGAGCCTGGTGCTGCAGTGAGGTATTCTGGGCTGGCTTCAGAAATGCTGTGTGGATTATAGCCATACCACTCTAAATGTGCCTGATCTTGACTGATTTCTGGAGCTAAGCAGGGTCGGGCCTGGTTAGTGCTTGGATTGTGATGTGTTGCAGCTGGTTGATGGTTGATAAGCTAGCATCTGATTACTGGGTTAATCAATAGTGCCAACAGTGTGCAAATGGAGGTTCCATACCCTCTTGGCAATTACCCTTTAACTTCTTTTCAGCTGAAAACAAGAGGCACAACCTGTGAAGTTTGGTAACATTTTAATGAGCAAGTATAGCCAAGGAGATGAGGAGGAGCATCGTGTTGGCTTTGGGAATCCATAGGTCACGCAGAGAGAGGGGACTCCTGGATCATGGCATGTCTGGACACCCCTGTCCCCTAGCGGACGTCCACTGAGGTCAGGTAGACATCTCTCCACACCTGAATCATCCTCACAGATGCTGGGTGGACTCGGTGGGCAAAGCTGTAACAGTGCTGGCCGTTTATCACGACCTGCCGGAAGGAAGGAAGAGTGTCAGAAATACAGAATGCTACCACACAAGTATTCTGTATTCTGTTTTTCTTTTAAGATTTATTTTTGTTGGAAAGGCAGATTTACAGAGAGAAGGAGAGACAGAAAGATCTTCCATCTGTTGTTTCACTCCCCAAGTGGCTGCAACAGCTGAAGCTGAGCTGATCCAAAGCCAGGAACTTCTTCCGGGACTCCCATGTGGGTGCAGGGTCCCAGGGCTTTGGGCTATCCTCTACTACTTTCCCAGGCCACAGACAGGGAGTTGGATGGGAAGTGTAGCATCTGGGACATGGACCGGTGCCCATACGGGATTCTGGTACAGACAAGGCGAGGATTTAGCCACTAAGCCATTGTGCTGGGCCCACTTTCTGTTTTCTATTTCCATGTATGACCTAGTACGTACACCGTTCACCCACAAACTCCTGATGAGACATCAGAACCCAATAGACAGACTTCTTTTTTTAAAAGAAGGTTTATTTGAAAGGCGGAGTCAGTGCCACCCTCCATCTCTGTTGGGAGCTGAAAACTTCATCCAAGCCCCCCACTTGGATGACAGAGGCCCCAAGTATTTGGGACAACATCCATTTACTCTCAGACACACAATAGGGAGTTGAACTGGCCCCACCGTAAGTATTACAGGCTCAGAGTAGGGCTTATTCTGCTGGACCATAGCACCTACAATGACATGTTTCTTCTTTTTCTTTGTAGATCATTAAAAAAATAGATTTATTTGTTTTTATTGGAAAGTCAGATATACAGAAGGAGGAGAGACAGAGAGGAAGATCTTCCACCCGATGATTCACTCCCCAGTCACAATGGCTGGAGCTGAGCCGATCCAAAGCCAGGAAGCAGGAACTCCTTCTGTGTCCCCCACATGGGTACAGGGTCCCAAGGCCTTGGGCTATCCTTGACTGCTTTCCCAGGCCACAAGCAGGGAGCTGGATGGGAAGCGGGGCCTTTGGGATTAGAACCAGTGCCCATATGGGATGCCAGGATGTGTTCAAGGTGAGAATTTTATCTGCTAGGCTACTGTGCTGGGCCCTGCAGATCACTTTTTTAAAATAAAAACATTTATTTTTTATTGGAAAGGTAGATTTTCAGAGAGAAGGAGGGATAGGGAGAAAGATCCTCCATCTGCTGGTGCACTCCCCAAATGGCTGATAATAGCCAGAGCAGAGCTGTTCTGAAGCCAGGAGCCAAGAGCCAGGAGCCTCTTCTGGTCTCCCATGAGGGTGCAGGGTTCCAAGGACTTGGGCCATACTTTGCTGCTTTTTCAGGCCACAAGCAGGATGTTGGATGGGAAATGGAGCAGCCGGGACATGAACTGACACCCATATGGGATGCTTGTGCTTGCAGGTGAGAATTAGCCCCTTGAGCCATGGCACTGGCCCCTGCAGATCACCTTAAGTGACTGCTTTGAACAGTTATTCATTATTTTCTCTGTCTGATCACTCTTTAACTGATTTTTTAAAAAAGATTTCATTTTTATTTGAAAATTAGATATGCAGAGAGAAGAGACAGAGAGGAAGATCTTCCAACTGATGGTTTACTCTCCAAGTGGCCACAACAGCCGGAGCTATGCTGACCCAAAGCCAGGAACCTGGAGCTTCCTCTGGGTCTCCCATGCGTGTGCAGGGTCCCAAGGCTTTGAGCCATTCTTGACTGCTTTCCCTGGCCACAGGCAGGGAGCTGGATGGGAAGCGGAGCTGCCAGAATTAGAACCGGTGCCCATATGGGAACCCAACGTGTGTAAAGTGAGGACTTTAGCCACTAGGTTACCATGCTGGGCTCATCCTCAAGTGATTTTCTACCACTCAGTGTGACACGGTTATTTTTGTTGGCTCAGCATCCCCTGTAGCCTGGAAGATCCTAGAACAAGATCTGTGTCTCACGAATCTTGACTTTCTTGCATCTTGTACAAAGCTGACCATGGGGCTGGAACTTACTACAAGGTCATTGAGTGCCTAGGCTTCAGTTCCTCAAACCTCCACTGTATTTATGGCTCATAGTCCAGCCCTCTTCTGGGTCACTGATGGGAAAGAATGTAACCCTAGTGTTTGGAAAAGGTTTGCAGTGGTCCCGAGTGAAGATGTTGATCAAGACATTAAGACATTGTGGTGTGATCAAGATATTGATTAAGATGCCCTTTTTGGCCCGGCGTGGTGGCGCAAGTGGTTAAGGTCCTCGCCTAGCACGCCCGGGATCCCATATGGGCACCGGTTCTAATCCCGGCAGCCCCGCTTCCCTTCCAGCTCCCTGCCTGTGGCCCAGGAAAGCAGTCGAGGATGGCCAAAAAGCTTTGGGAACCTGCACCCGCGTGGGAGACCCGGAAGAGGCTCCTGGCTTCGGATCGGCATAGTATCGGCCCGTTGCGCTCACTTGGGGAGTGAATCATCGGACGGAAGATCTTCCTCTCTGTCTCTCCTCTCTGTATATCCGCCTTTCCAATGAAAAAATAATAAAAATAAATCTTTAAAAAAAAAAAAAAGATGCCCTTTTATCATGTCAGAGGGGCTAAGCTTAGGTTCCTGGTAATGCAGGTCCTGGGAGACAGTGGTGATGTCTCAAGTAATTGAATTCCTGCCGATCACATGGAGAGACCTGGATTGAATATCCAGCTCCTGGATATTTGACCTCAGCCCAGCTCTACCTGTTGCAGGTTTTGGGGGGAGTGACTGCTTCTCAAATAAGAATTTATTGATATCTATTATTTAAATAAATTATAGTTATATGAAATGTGCATTTCCTGAATGTTAAGAAAACGTGAAAGTATGGGGAGGTTGGTAATGGGAAAAATGTTATACAGAACCGAATTCAGCAGCATTTGTAAAGAAAAAAATTAGAAACAACCTATATATCCATCAATAAGGGCCAGTTCAAATTTAGATCATCTTTCTAGTGGAGTAGAATACAATCATGAATATGCAAGACAGAGGCCTCATAAATAAATTGATTTTTCTTGAAATATGTTTTCTGGCAACTAAGACTCTTAGTTCTTAGGTTCAGTGTTTATGTCACTATATTTCCAACAAGAAGGGAAACATACATTTGCATATGTATATATATGTATATTTACACATGTATGTATAGCTCCACCTATACAAATGCATCTATACATTTGCATATGTATGTGCATATTTGTACATATACGCATTTGTATGTGTATGTGTACTATTTACTATATGTACATATACACATGCACATATACACACAATATAATCTACACTATAAGCTTGGGTGAGTATGGATTATCTCCAGGAGGAAGGTCTAGAATGGTTGTTTTGGGAAGAAGAATGGGATTCAGGAGTGAAATGAGACTGATTTGATTGACTGACTGCAATAATTTTATTTCTATGCGTATCTTAACAATTTAAATGAATAATTACACAACGGCAGAAGCAGAAATGACGGTTGTAGGAAAAGCCACAGAAAAGATCCTCCCCGGTGGATGGACTGGCCTGTGAGCCAACCTTGACCCTGGACAGAGTTGGGAAAAGAATTGAGGATGGTAGGATAGACAGAGTGTGCTGGATCACCAGAACTCCTGGGGCCAGGTCCTGGAGCCCTGGCAGGTGGCACGGCAGGCACTCTTGGGCACACTCACCTGGTACTCATTGTGCAGCACCATGATGCACAGTTCAAAATGTTGGCACTCTGTGAAGGGCGTGTGGGAATATTTCACCTCGCAATCCCAGCCCCCACACCGAAGGCTGTTCATGACCACACAATGGCCAAAGTATACGCGCAAATGGAAGGCGATGTCAGACTTCTCACTGGTGCCCGTGTGGAAATCCACCTGCAGCTGTGGGTCCTTTCTGAAGACAAAGCACATAGCTTATTGGTCAGGTCCCCTCCATGTGGTGGTCCACACACAGCACACAGGCCAAGCTTTCCCTACCTCTTCTCCATAGTGAAAGGAAGATGATATTTCCTTCACAGGTGGGGCTGTCTGAGCTCATCTTGCCTGGAGTAGTGAGATATTCTGCCCTTTAGCCCAAGACTGAAAATGGGCTGGGTGCACTGACCTAAGCCTGTTGGTTGTGCATTCCATGAAGTCTGTGTACCTTGTAAAAGCTACATTCTCTGCCCCCTTACATTCTGTCTATTGACTTTTTGCCTTAGCCTTATGACCTGTCCTGGTGGATGTTGTAGCCTGGCCCGCCTCACCTCTAATTCTTGAGTGTACCTGTAGGTGCTGCAGCCTGGGCCAGCTCAGCCTATTCCCAACCCTACTTCCCATGAATATCGATGAATTCCATGGTCCTGCTTAGCTTGGCCTGTCACCACCCTCAGCCCTCGAGCAAATGAGCTGATATGGTAATCCCACAGGCTGAACCCACAAATCCCCCACACTATCTGCTACCAGGTCTAGTTCTCTCATATGCCTGTTAGTATCAAGGTCCATGCCCCAACACTCACTGGTGGGTACTGTGGTTGATCCCTGCCAGACAGGCCCCACCCCAGCCATGGCTTTCATGTGAGCTGGTAGGTGGTTGTTGATACCAACTGGCCCAGTTCAGGTCTTGCACATGGATGGGTATATTGGGTTTGGCTCTGAAAGGTCCTCCAGTTTCCCTTCTCTATACCACCCAGTCGCAGCCCCCTTGTTTACCTGCAAATCTAGTAACCTTGTTGTTGTTAATCCCCCATAAGTCATTCCTCACTGATCACATACTCCATCAATATTCATTCCTCCTACACATCTCCTGATGCACTTCCCTGAGAAATTTGTGCCCCCCCATGCCCATGAGCATGCAGGTCCAAGCCCAATCTTCTAATGGTGTGGCATCCTGCCCTAGGGCACTGCATGCTTGGGACCCATGCATGTTTGTGCACAGACCCCACCTGCTTGCCAGCCAGCATCTGCCCCTCTCATGACTTAAAAAAAATAGTATAGGCAACTCTGCTGGCACACTGGTATAATTAACACAAATTTGGCACTAATCAGGCCCAGGATGTCCACCAGGTATTGGCTGCTTATCTCACAGCAGTGTAACACTTGCCTAGGTACAATACAAGTCTCATCTGTATTGATGGTCCTCCATCCCTTACCCATAGACTGCAAGATACTCACCTGAAACAATTGGCAGGTGCCCCTCTAATGGTCACTGAAGAACCGATGCACAAGGACACGTTCCGTGTATACGGGACCTGTTATGGGAATTGGGAATGGGTGAGAAGGGGCTGGGCTGGGCTGGCTGTTGGTTCCCCTCCTGTAGTAGTTTCTGGGTTCAGCAAGTTAGGGGTCAAAGGGCCAACTCTGAAGACTCGTTCTTTCTACCCCAGCACAGTCAGGGGTCCCAGTTTTGTTGACAGACCAATAGGGTCCTACTTAAGAGGAGGTGTCAAGAGCCAGGCTTTCCTGCTGCTGATCCTGACTGTAGTCCTCCGCAGCAGTGGGATGGTAGATCCGTTAATTGGACTCCCCCTGCCTGCTTATCAGCATAGGTGGATTGTCAGGGACTCTTACTTCATAGGGTAGTCTCAAGAATAGAGGAACTTTAAATGTGGCAAGCATGCAGTCCTGGTGTGTATAGGGTATCTAGAATGAGTTTAGCCATCAGAGGGATGACCCTTTCTGGAATATAGCATCTGATAATTTTCTACTTTTGAACTGGTGAATGTGAGAGATGAGGGTGTATAATTTATTTATTTCCGTGGAGAAAGTACATGTGTAAAGAGGGTGTGTGTGTGTGTGTGTGTGTTTGTGTGTGTGTGTGTGTGTGTGTTGGGTGGGTGGGGTGGGTATGTGGCACAGGGATTGGGACGCCTGCTTTCCATACTGGAGTGCCTGGTCAAGTCCTGGATACTTCTTTTTCCTTTATTTTCTTATTCCAAGACTTACTTATTTGAAAGACAGAGTTAAAGAGAGATTGAGAAAGAAATTTTCCATAGTCCATTCTAAGAGACTTCCATAGTCACTCCCCAAATGGATGCATCTCTGTGCCTTTCCAACAAATGAATCCTTCAAAAATGAGCGACAGAGCAGAGGGAATGTGCGCAAATGGTGAAGAGCATAGTTCCAAGACCTGTGCAGGGGTGTGTGGGACATGAAAAGAACTGGTCAAAATCTACAAGGTGTAGTTATAAGCTCGGTTTGTGTTGAGGTTACATTTATGGTATCCTGTTTGAGATGGTTTAATTCCCTGTGAACAAAGTCTCGCTGTGGCCTTCCTCTGGGTGTTCAGATCTGTCTCTCCTTTCTCTAGCCTGATGACAAAGCGAGGCTGGGCCAGAGGAAGGAAGAGAGAGACCTTGAGCAGGGGAGATAGGAGGCTGTGATCTGCAGATGCAGCCTGAAGTTCCAGTGCCCTCCCAGCCCCACTCTCTCTGAGAAGTCCATAAGGGCTCATTCACTCTGCTCTTGGGAGGAATTGCAGGCGGATCCCTGGGAAACTCACAGTTTCCAAGACAACCACCAGTACTGCCTGTTAGAACCTACGCTGAGGCGCATGGGAGATTTCAGTGTCATTTAATGGGAGTCGCTGTCATGGAAGAATCTGCACATTCAGAACTAGACACAATCACAGCTCAACCTGAGGCCACACAATCACACACACACACACACACACACACACACACACACACACACACACACGGTTACCGAGTTAAGTACACAGTCTCACTCCCTTGCACTCACCTACACAGCTGCCCACCCCAGGCAGCGTCTGCCTCCCACTTGAACTCATATTGTCTCACATCAGAAACAGATCAAGGATGACAACTCATACTGCCTGATGAGGATCCTTGGGTCATCTCCCCAGGGTCTCTCTCTCCCACACACCCACCACTCTCAGTAGCATATCCAGCATGGGATGCTTCCTGGCCTCATCTCTTGAAATCTCCCATTTTTCTCTCCCTTCCTTCATGGGACCTGGGACCACCGGAGGCTGTGCGTTTCTGCCTCACCTGCATCCCTGCCATCATCGTCTTCCTCAGGTGGCTCTTTTGAGGGAGGTCTGGCCTTAGGTGAGACACTCTTGAGGTGGCTGCATATAAGTGATTCCTCCAGCCCTGCCCTCTGGCTTCATTCCTGAGCCCAAGCGCCCCTGCTAGTGAGGTTTCCCAGCGGGTTGTGTCAGAAACAGGCCTGTTGTGCGGGGCTGTTTCTGTGATGTAACCGCAGTGTCAGAAGGAAGCAGCTGGGAGGGGAAAGGCACAGAGGTGATGTGGTGAGTGGGTGGGGGAGTCCCATGGATGGGTGCCAGGTCCAGCCTCATCTTTCTCTCTCAGCCCTTTCCCACAAGGCAGATTCTACCCACAAGGTGTATCTCTTTCTCCCCTGCACAGTGCCAAAGAAGAGATGGTGCAGGGGGTAAGGCCGTTGGCTCCAGGAGGGAATCCTTTTCTCTCCCAGAGTTCCTGGGGGAGTGTGGAAATGGAGGGTTGGCAGGACTTGGAGAGAGAGATGGGAACATCTTTGTGTCACCTGGACCCCACCCCAAGTCCTTGGCTGTGTCAAGCTGTATGGCACTGGGGGAAGGGCCACTCAGATTCTGTGTGTTACACAGCTGGGCTCCAGCCATGCCCTCCTTTCTGTGTGGGTTTCCATGCTGGTCTCAGGTTCTTGTTCCTTCTGTGGATGATGGGAGAAAGCTGGGATAGTTGGTTGTAGTCTTTGATTTGCCTGCTGCTTGGTTTTTGTTTCCTGTGAAGACAGCAGGTGCCGTAGAGGTGGTGATGGGAGCTGAGCCGTGATGCAGTGTGGTTGGGGTGGAGGACTGAGCACTGCTCCTCAAGTTCTTTTGGGATGGGAGGGAACATCCTCAATGCCAAAACTGGAATTAGAAAAAAAGGATTTATTAATTTAATTTAATTTTTATTATTTTTTAAAAATGATTTATTTACCTTTCTTGGAAAGGGAGATATACAGAGAGGAGATATGGAGAAAAAGATCCTCCATCCACTGGTACACTCTCCAAGTAGCCGCAAGGGCCGGAGCTGAGCCAACCCAAAGCCAGGCTGCAGGAGTCTCCTCTAGTCTCCCACATGCGTGCAGCGTCCCAAGGCTCTGTGCTGTCCTCCACCGCTTTTCCCAGGCCACAGGCAGGGAGCTGGACAGGAAGTGGAGCAGCCAGGATTAGACCTGAGGCCCATATGGGATCCCAGTACATGCAAGGTGAGGGACTTTAGATACTAGGCTAGGGTACCTGGCCTGATTCATCTATTTTTATTTGAAAGGCGGATTAACAGAGTGAACCTACTGTTTCACTCTGGAAAGGCTGCCACAGCTGGAGCTGAGCTGATCTCAATCAAGGAGCCAGGAGCTTCTTGTGGGTCTCCCCTGTGGGTGCAGGGTCCCAAGGCTTTGGGCTGTCCTCTTCTGCTTTTCCAGGCTCTAAGTGGAGAGCTGGATGGAAAGCAGAGTATCTGGGATATGAGCCAGCACCCATATGGGAATCTGGTGCTTGAAACTAGAGTGTTAGCCAATTGAGCCATTGCACTGGGCCCCCCAAGACTGGAATTTCAAGAAGGGCTGTCTTAGATGCCAGTCATCACTGACATGGAATCATTTTTCCATCACTTGCTCTTTAAAAAAAAAAAAAGGACTTTATTTATTTTATTGGAAAGGCAGATTTACAGAGAGAAGGAGAGACAAAGTTCTTTCAAATGCTGGTTCATTTTCTTAAAAAAGATTTATTTATTGGAAAGTCAGATATACAGAGAGGAGGAGGGACAGAGAGGAAGATCTTCCACCCGATGATTCACTCTCCAAGTGAGTGCAACGGCTGATCCGAAGCCAGGATCCAGAAACTTCTTCCGGGTCTCCCACATGGGTGCAGGGTCCCAAGGCTTTGGGCCGTCCTTGACTGCTTTCCCAGGCCACAAGCAGGGAGCTGGATGGGAAGTGGAGCTGCTAGGATTAGAACCAGCACCCATATGTGATCCCGGCGCATTCAAGGCGAGGACTTTAGCAGCTAGGCCATGCTGCCAGGCCCATGCTGGTGCATTTTCTAAGTGGCTGCATTGAGCTGGCTGATCTGAAGCCTGGAGCCAGGAGTTTCTTCAATCTCTCATGCAGGTGCAGAGTCCCATGCCTTTGGGTCATCCTCTACTGCTTTTCCAGGCCACAAACTGGGAGCTGGATGGAAAGTGGATCAGCTGGAACAGGAACTGACACTCATATGGGGTCCAAATGTGTACAAGTCAATGATTTAGGCACTCAGCCACCATGCCAGGCTCCAACTATTTTGACTTTATAAAAATGAAAATAAAGAGCAACTGTAGAAAAGATTCTTTCTATAGGAGAAATAAATGTGAAATATTTTTGCTAATTTTTTAGTGATTCCTATATGGAATGCTGATGAATGATTAGCAATTCCCTAGTTTAAGTTCTGTTGTATATCTGCTAGAAAAGTCTGACATAATTCAGATATCTTGTTTTAAAAGTTCAAAGTTAGAGGCCTGGCAGCTAAAGTCCTCGCCTTGAACACGCTGGGATCCCATATGGGCACCGGTTCTAATCCTGGCAGCTCCACTTCCCATCCAGCTCCCTGCTTGTGGCCTTGGACCCTGCACCTGCATGGGAGACCTGGAGGAAGTTCTTGGCTCCTGGCTTTAGATTTGCGCAGTACCGGCTGTTGCGGTCACTTGGGAAGTGAATCATCGGGTGGAAGATCTTCCTATCTGTCTCTCCTCCTCTTTATATATCTAACTTTGCAACAAAAATAAATAAATCTTTTTTAAAGATTTTATTTTTATTATTTTTTTATTGGAAAGGCGGATATACAGAGAGGAGAGAGAGAGACAGAAAGATCTTCCGTCCGATGATTCACTCCCCAACGGCTGATGCTATGCCGATCCGAAGCCTGGATCCTCTTCCGGGTCTCCCACGCGGGTGCAGGGTCCCAAAGCTTTGGGCCGTCCTCGACTGCTTTCCCGGGCCACAAGCAGGGAGCTGGATGGGAAGCGGGGCTGCGGGGATAGAACCAGCGCCCATATGGGATCCCGGGCGTGCAAGGCGAGGACCTTAACCACTTGCGCCACCGCGCTGGGCCCCAAAATGAATAAATCTTAAAAAAATTAAATGTTCAAAATTAATTTCTGCTCATTGTAGGCATTTTTGACCAAAAATCTCATTCTGTATTGCCTGGCTCTCACTTGGAAGTATGGAGCAGGTCCACCACTGGATGGATAACATCATGTACAGCGCCGTAGAGGCCCAGTGGCTTTAGGGCCCAGCACAATGGCTTATCTGATTAATCCTCACTTTGTAAGCACCAGCATCCTATATGCAACTGGTTTGTGTCCTGGCAGCTCCACTTCCCATCCAGCTCCCTGCTTGTGGCCTGGGAAAGCAGTTGAGGATGGCCCAAAGCTTTGGGACCCTGCACCCATGTTGGATACCCAGAAGAAATTCCTGGTTCCTGGCTTTGGATCAGCTCAGGCAGTTGCAGTCATTTGGGTATGTAATATAAGTAGTAAATGAAAGATCTTTCTCTTTGTCTCTTCTTCTCTCTGTAAATCTGCCCTTCTAATCACTCACAACACACACACATACACACTCTCTCACACACACACACACTTTATATGATGTATTTTTGCTTGAAAGGCTGAGTTATTTGGGGAGGGAGACACACACTGAGCAAGAGATCAGTTGTTTGCTGGCTCCTTCCTCACATGTAGCTGGTCCCAGCCAAAAAGCTGAGAGTCGGGACTCTATCCCGGTTTTCCTTGTGGGGCAGGAGCCCAGGTACTTAGGCCTTCTGCTGTTTTCCCAGGCTCATCAGCAGGCGGCTGCATCAGAGTGAAGCAGCTGGGATTTGAACCAGCACCCATGTGACATGCCAATATTGCAGGCGGGTGCTTGATGCGTTGTACTATGACACTGTTCAGAACATATTCTGTTGGAGACAGAAAAAAGCCAAGGACATTTGCAAAGGGGAATCGTTTCATCTCAGGAGTGACCTTTTGTTTCTTGCTATGTGCCCTGTTTCATAAGAGAAGAACAGAAATTGAAGTGAGAAAGATGTTGGAAAGTTCTTAAGAGGTCCTTCAAATGATCTTTGTTGACCGCTGGACCCTGGGATTCCTGTGTCCCACCTGGGTGTGTGAGTATATTGAGTATATATTGAGAATAAAGATGAGTGTGTAACTAGGCAGTAGCCCTAACCCTAACCTAGGAGAACCACCGTGTAGGGTTGTGTGGTTTATTCATATAAAACGGTCAAGGAACAAATAGACAAAGCATATAACTCGTGCCATCCTCAGCAAGCATTGGAGCCTAGCATAGTTTTCATCTATGTAGACCAATAATTTCCTGAGGTTGAGATTATGATGCAAGAGGTTAAGCCACCGTTGCAATTCCAATATCCCATATGAACGCCGGTTTGAGTCCTCGCTGCTCTGTTCCCAAACCAGCTCTGTGCTAAGGCTTCTGGGAAGAGTGGCAGGAAATGACTGGAAGTGCTTGAGACCCTCCCACCCTTTTGGGAGACTTGCATTGCAGTTCCAGCTCCTGGCTTTGACTTGGCCCAGGCTCAACTGTTTCAGGTATTTTGGGAATGAACAGATGGATGGAAGGCCTATCTTGCTTGTCATCTGTCTCTATAACTCTGCCTTTCAAAGAAATAAAATATTTTAAAAATAAGAAAGAATTTAATGATTTCCAGGAAAGAAATGGTAGGCTAAAGGCAGGATCCTTGATTCATTTAAAAAAAAAATACATAGGTGAACGAGACTGGGATGGGAGATATGTGAGGAGGAGATCGTGCCTTAAGAGAACCAAAGAGTTTAGAAGCAGAGAGGAGGGTTAGGGATGAAAGGAAGAAGAAGGGCCTGAGGGTATCATGACCTCGTATTGGCATCTCATGGTATTTGGGTGTCAGGTGGGAGGAAGGCTAAGGAAGAGGCACACCCACAAGTAAGGTGGATCAGCTGTGGCAGCGACTACGGTGAGAGTGGATAGGATCAAGAGTGATGCTCAGGGCCCGGCGGCGTGGCCTAGCTGCTAAAGTCCTCGCCTTGAATGTGCTGGGATCCCATATGGGCGCTGGTTCTAATCCTGGCAGCTCCACTTCCCATGCAGTTCCCTGCCTGTGGCCTGGGAAAGCAGTCAAGGACGGCCCAAAGCTTTGGGACCCTGCACCCGTGTTGGAGATCTGGAAGAAATTCCTGGATCCTGGCTTCGGAATGGCATAGCATCGGCCGTTGCGCTCACTTGGAGAGTGAATCATCGGGTGGAAAATCTTCCTATCTGTCTCTCCTCTCTGTATATCTGACTTTCCAATAAATAGATAAATCTTTTTTTTTTTTTTAAAGAGTGATGCCTGACAGAAGCCCTTTTGTAGAATGTTTCTGAAACCTTCCTCAGCTTATTTTTGGGTAATACCTTGTCTCTGCTGAAGGGTTCTCCATCTTTTTTAAGAAGCCGATGATCTGGACACTTCTAGAAGAAAAGGGCTGTCATTCTTGGCACGAACTCAAAGGGCAAGGGGTGGAGCCAGATGCCGCAATGAGACAATCTGGACTGGCTTCAGAAATGCTGTGCACCCAGTAACTGCTGTAGACCTCTGGTTTTGTCCTCATAAAATGTACAGTTTAAATGCATTTTTTTTCCTGTGTCTGTCTCAGTGTTGTGTTTCTATTGTGAACAGGAAAGGTGTTGCAGTTCTTTAGCGTGCCTGTGGAGATCAACCACACCTTTGAATTCACACTGAGTTCATCTCATGTCCCAAGTTGGATGCTGGGATGCCAGACTCCCATTCTGAGCCTGTGACTGTTCTGACATTACTACTCGGGGCTCCCAGAGGGGGAGTTGGGGTCTTGGCATGTGGGGAGTGTCAGAGTAGAATAGTAAGCCGTCTCTGCACCCATGAACCATAGGCTAGAGTAGCCACACCCTGACTAGTCCCTTCCCCTGGATGTGACCTCTGTGACTTCCAGAGCCCTGGGATGCCCTGCACCCTATGCTTGAGTGTGGTTGGAAGCTGCCCCTTGGCGGTCCCCACTCACTGAGTGCAGGGTTTGAGCAGGTCCCCGGTGGCCATGGACAGGTGCAGAGAAGGAGACAAGCAGCCAGCCTTCCACTGTTCTGGCCACTCAGGCTGGAGTAAAGCATCCTCTAGAAGCCCCAGCAGCAGATCCTTCAGAAAACTCAGCTCCTCGTCGCAGCCACATGCAAGTCCAGTCATCTTGTAAAAGAAAATAATTTTTGAATTATTTCTACTTTTGTTTATTTACTTATTGGAAAGGGAGAATGAGAGAGGCATATCAGACAGAATGATTTTGCGTATACAGGTGCCTCGATACTCACAGTAGCTAGCACTGGGTGGAGCCGAAGCTGGGGTTGGAACTCAGCCCAGGTCTCCCATATGTATGGAAACCAATATTTTATCTGTCACCGATGCATCTCAGGGTCTGTGATAATGAGACCCTAGAACCAGGAGTGGGTTCAGAACTCAATCCAGACACTGTGATATGTGAGGTGTAGGCATCCCAAGCAGTGCCCTCAGTGCTGTGCCAAATTCCCACCCAAATTCTTGTTTGAAACCAGTGTCTTTTTTTAAGGTGTATTTATTTTTATTGGAAAGGCACATATATAGAAAAGGAGATACAGAGAAAAAGTTTTTCCATCCACTGGTTTACTCCCCAAGTGGCTGCAATGGCCAGAACTGTGATGATCCAGAACCAGGAGCTTCTTCTTGGTCTCTCATGCAGGTGCAGAGTCCCAAGATTTTGGGCTATCCTTGTCTACTTTCCCAAATCATAAGCAGATGAACTGAATGGGTGGGGCCTCCAGGACATGAAACGGCGCCAATATGGGACCCCAGCGTGTTCAAGGTGAAGACTTTATCCACTAGGCTACTGCTCCAGGCCTGCATTAACGTCTTAATTCTGTCATTTGGAGCGGGGCCAGAGCCGTGGCTTAGTGTGTTTGGCCTGCAGGAAGTTAACAAAACACATCTATCCCAGTTGTGTCAGTGACTTTATCACTCCCTGTCGGTCTCACAGATTTTCCCTCCTAGACTCTTCCCATGGAACCACACCAGTCTCTTTAACTTCAGCCTAAAGGAAGAGACACCCACTATGAAGTTTGATGATGTTTTAATGAGCAAGTATAGCTAAGGCGATGAGGAGGAGCCATTGTGTTGGTTTTGGGAATTCATGGGTCATAAGGAGAGAGGGGGGCTCCTGGATCACGGGGTACCGGAAACCCCTGTCCTCTAGCAGACTTCCACCGAGGTCAGGGCGACGTCTCTCCACACCTGAATCATCTTCACAGATGCTGGGTGGACTCGGTGGGCAAAGCTGTAACAGTGCTGGCCGTTTATCACGACCTGTCGGAAGGAAGGAAGAGTGTCAGAAATACAGGGTGCCTCCTTTTTCCTTTTGTACCTTAAGACTTAGAAGAACGTTCACCCAAAATGTCCCAATGACATATCAGAACCCAGGACATGTTCTTTTTGCTCTAAAGGTTTATTTATTTGAAAGGCAGAGTGTCACTGGGTAGAAAGAATCTCCAGTTGGGCTAGGTCTCCACCAGGAATTTCATCTAGTCTCCCGTGTGGGTGGTATGGGTCCATGTACTTGGGGCATCACTGTCTCACAGGCACATTGACAGGTAGCTGATTGGCACCACCATAGGGGATGCCAGCTTTGCTGTGGCACTTAAGTTGCTAGGCTGACTTTTTGCAGACTACATTTGTGGCTGCTTTAGACAATTGGTTATTTCCTCCAGTGAAGTTCTACCACTCTATGATGGGGTCTCTCTGCTTAACTTCCTTTCTACCCTAGAAAAGCCCCGTGGACAGAGTCTGTACCTCATGAATCTTGATTTCCTGTATCTTGTACAAAGCTGACCATGGGGCTGGAACTTACTACAAGGTCATTGAGTGCCTAGGCTTCAGTTCCTCAAACCTTCACTGTGTTTATGGCTCAGAGTCCAGCCCTCTTCTGGGTCACTGATGGGAAAGAATGCAACGCTCGTGTTTGGAAAAGGTTTGGGTAGTGCAGTGGTCCCGAGGTGAAGATGTTGGGTGGGTGCTTAGCCTAGTGATCAAGACGTTGGTTAAGATGCCCTTTTATCATGTCAGAGGGGCTAAGCTTAGCTTCCTGGTAATGCAGGCCCTGGGAGACAGTGGTGATGTCTCAAGTAATTGAATTCCTGCCAACCACATGGAGAGACCTGGATTGAATATCCAGCGCCTGGCTCTGGCTTAGGCCAGCCCTGGCTCTTAACAGGCTTTGGGGAATGAATGAGTGGGTGGTATCTCTGTTTCTATCTAACTCTGCTTCCCAAATGAGAATAAGAATAGATACTATTTTGATAACTTACGGGCATATGAAATATGTACTTCCTGAATATTAATAATAAAATATTAAAGTACAGGGGGGTTGACAATGAGAAAAATGCAGCATCATTTGTAAAAGACAAATATTGGAAATAGACCAAATGCCCACTATAATAAGGGTGATTTCAGTTTTTATCATACTTATGGTGGAATATTAATACAATTATTAGCATACAAGACAGTATCATTATGAATAAAGTGATTTCCACAAGACAGATCTTTTAAAAACTAATAACTACCCAGTTTTTAGATACAGTGGAAAGAGAAACTTTTGCCATTGCATATTCAAAAATAAGTGAAAGAATACATATATAAATATATGTACCTATATAAATGTATATACATATATATGTGTAACTCTAATTAGTATTATAGGTCTGTGTAGGTATGATTATTTCTGAGAGCCCAATAAAAAAGGTAGCAATGCTTAAGGAGTGAAAAGAAACTGACTGACTGACTGTAATCTTATTCCTGTGTGTATTTTAACCATTTAGCTGCATAAACATTTACCCAACAGCAGAAGTAGAAATGACGGTTGTAGGAAAAGCCACAGAAAAGATCCTCCCCGGTGGATGGACTGGCCTGTGAGCCAACCTTGACCCTGGACAGAGTTGGGAAAAGAATTGAGGATGATAGGATAGACAGAGTGTGCTGGATCACCAGGACTCCTGGGGCCAGGTCCTGGAGCCCTGGCAGGTGGCATGGCAGGCGCTCTTGGGCACACTCACCTGGTACTCATTGTGCAGCACCATGATGCACAGTTCAAACTGTCTACACTCCGTGAAGGGCATGTAAGAGGATTTCACCTCGCAATCCCAGCCCCCACACCGAAGGCTGTTCATGACCACACAATGGCCAAAGTACACTCGAAAATGGAAGGCGATGTCAGACTTCTCACTGGTGCCCGTGTGGAAATCCACCTGCAGCTGTGGATCCTTTCTGAAGACAAAGCATGTAGCATATCGGTCAGGTCCCCTCCCTGTGGTGGTCCGCACACAGCACACAGCCAAGTTTTTCAAAACTACCTCTTCCCAAGTTATATTTTATTCTTGTTTCTGTGGGGCTGTCTGAGCTCATCTTGCCTGGAGAAGTGAGATACTCTGTCCCTTAGCCCGAGACTGAAGATGAACCACTGACCTAGGCCTATTGAGTATCCATTTCTTGAAAAGTCTCTGTCTCTTGATAAAGAGTTACATCCCTGTCCCAGACATTGCTTCTATCCCCTTCAAGTGATGTCTTATCCTAGACTCAAGACTTGCTCACAGTTCAGCAAACTACTACAGGTTCAACACTAGGGACTTAGCCTCTCCTGCATCTACACCCTGCTTGCATCGCCTCTATCACAATGGAATATTTTAACATCAGCCAGTCATGTGGTGACCTCCCCACTCTGAGAATATCATCCATCCTGATAGTCCTCCATCCCTTACCCACAGACTGTAAGGCACTCACCTGAAACAATTGGCAGGTGCCCCTCTGATGGTCACTGAAGAACCGATGCACAAGGACACGTTCCGTGTATACGGGACCTGTTATGGGAATTGGGAATGGGTGAGAAGGGGCTGGGCTGGCTGTTGGTTCCCCTCCTGTAGTAGTTTCTGGGTTCAGCAAGTTAGGGGTCAAAGGGCCAACTCTGAAGACTCCTTCTTTCTACCCCAGCACAGTCAGCGGTCCCAGTTTTGTTGACAGACCAATAGGGTCCTACTTAAGAGGAGGTGTCAAGAGCCAGGCTTTCCTGCTGCTGATCCTGACAGTAGTCCTCCGCAGCAGTGGGATGGTAGATCCGTTATTTGGACTCCCCCTGCCTGCTTATCAGTACAAAGAGGACTGTCAGGAATCTCCACTTCACGCTATCAGAACAGTCTGTGTGTCAGACGTGATCAGATATTGACACGTGGTTACACGGCTCTAGCATCAGATCATCCTCTTCTGGATCATCTCCCAAGGGTCTCTCTCTCCCACACACCCACCGCTCTCAGTAGCACATCCAGCATGGGATGCTTCCTGGCCTCATCTCTTGAAATCTCCCATTTTTCTCTCCCTTCCTTCATGGGACCTGGGACCACCGGAGGCTGTGCGTTTCTGCCTCACCTGCATCATCGTCTTCCTCAGGTGGCTCTTTTGAGGGAGGTCTGGCCTTAGGTGAGACACTCTTGAGGTGGCTGCATATAAGTGATTCCTCCAGCCCTGCCCTCTGGCTTCATTCCTGAGCCCAAGCGCCCCTGCTAGTGAGGTTTCCCAGCGGGTTGTGTCAGAAACAGGCCTGTTGTGCGGGGCTGTTTCTGTGATGTAACCGCAGTGTCAGAGAGGGAGCAGCTGGGAGGGGAAAGGCACAGAGGTGATGTGGTGAGTGGGTGGGGGAGTCCCATGGATGGGTGCCAGGTCCAGCCTCATCTTTCTCTCTCAGCCCTTTCCCACATTGCAGATTCTACCCACAAGGTGTATCTCTTTCTCCCCTGCACAGTGCCAAAGAAGAGATGGTGCAGGGGGTAAGGCCGTTGGCTCCAGGAGGGAATCCTTTTCTCTCCCAGAGTTCCTGGGGGAGTGTGGAAATGGAGGGTTGGCAGGACTTGGAGAGAGAGATGGGAATATCTTTGTGTCACCTGGACCCCACCCCAAGTCCTTGGCTGTGTCAAGCTGTATGGCACTGGGGGAAGGGCCACTCAGATTCTGTGTGTTACACAGCTGGGCTCCAGCCATGCCCTCCTTTCTGTCTGGGTTTCCATGCTGGTCTCAGGTTCTTGTTCCTTCTGTGGATGATGGGAGAAAGCTGGGATAGTTGGTTGTAGTCTTTGATTTGCCTGCTGCTTGGTTCTTGTTTCCTGTGAAGACAGCAGGTGCCGTAGAGGTGGTGATGGGAGCTGAGTCCTGGTATAAGGTGTATAAGGTGTAAGGTATGGGTCTCGTTTCATACTTCTGCACACAGAGATCCATTTTTTCTAGATCCAATTTGTTGAAGATATGTCTCCCTGAATTGATTTTGAGTCATGTGTCAAAAATCAATCGGCAATAGATGCATGAGTTCATTGGAAGAGAATACAAACAGCCTGATTTTATTTATTTACTTTACAGGCAGCATTACACAGAGCGGTAGAGACAGAGGAAGACATCTCTTTACTGGTTCGCTTTCTAAATGGCTACCAAGGCCAGGGCGGGGCCATCCTGAAGCCATCGTGTCTCCCACATGTGTGGTGGTGGCTTGAACACTTGAGCTGTATTTGCTGTTTTCCCAGGTGCATTTGCAGGGAGCTGGGTGGGATTTTGCAGCTCAGGGAAATGTGTAAAGAAACGTTAGTTTAAGCTACCACCTGGGATGCCAGAATCCCAGATCAGAGCTCTGGTTGCAGTCTCAGCTGTTGTGTTTCCAATCCAACGTGTTGCTTATGTGCCTAGAAGGGCAACAGATGATGATCCGAGAAAGTCGGCCCTGGTACCTATGTGGGAGGCCCAGATGGAACTCCAGGCTTCTGGCTTGTGCCTGGAGCAGCCCAGGCCATTGCAGCTTTTAGGCAAATGACGCATGTATAGAAGACAGACTCTTTCTCTTTCTGTCTGTCTTTCTCTCTTTCTTTCTCCTGCCTTCCAAATAAGTAAAATAAATTCTCTACTAAAATGTATGGAAATTTTCTTACTCTGCCCCATGAAATAAATACATTAATGCAAATATTAAAGAGTTGGGCCAGGTGCCATGGCTTAGTGGCTGAATCTTCACCTTGAAAGTGCCAGAATTTCAAATGGACACCAGTTTGTGTCCAAGTCCTGGTAGGCACTGCAGGTGCTGCAGCTGCCGGGAGCACTGGGTGTCCCCACCCTCCCCCATGACACCGACCTTGACAACAGTCGTGTCCAGCTTCAGCTCCTTTGCCAGGCTCTCTAGGGTGTCCCAGTCAGGGCACGGGGTCTTCTCGAAGACAGCTTTCAGGACCCCGAGCTGCTCGGAGTTGAATTGTGTGCGTGGTCGGCGTGCAGCATTTCTGGGGCCTGCAGAGGTGACAGACAGGAAAGTCAGGACTGCTTGGCTGGGACCCCAGCAGGTGGCGAGGGTCCATTCGCCAGCTGCACAACCTACTCCCCAAGCCATTGCCCCACACACACACCCTGCGTGCCTGCCCCGTGAACCTGTGCACAAGCGAGCCACCTCTCTGTCTCTCTGTCTCTCTCCAGTGAATGAAACTCACACTGGAAAGCAGAGCTGGGGGCAGGTTGCCACACTGCCCAGACCAGACTGTGTGCTCACAAGCGGAGTTAAGTCTGCCTCTGGCCTGGTGCTATCTGAGCTGATGATAAAAAGGGGCAAGGCTAGAGTACAGGGCACCAGGGCATTTCAGTGGTGTCCAAGACATTTGTCCCAGGACAAATGTCCCAGGAGAATGGCAATGTTCGGGACCTTGTATGGTCATAGCCAGGAGTGCGGGAGGTCATTTCAGTTGCTGTGGTGTCCCGCTGGTTCAGTCCTCCGCTTCCCCATGGCCAGATGTTTCTTGTTATTGCTCTGATATCTTTGTTTATTTATTTATTTATAAAATTAGGGTAAAGAGGTTCAAGGGCTACAGGAAAGCTGGTAAGGCTATTATTTTTTCCATATTGTTTCCTTCATGTTTAAAGGGGGGTATTTTTGGGGAGAAGGCCCACCCAAATTTCCACCCTCCCCAGGTCATGGATGTAGGGTATTATCTGAGGTTCTTGCTCAAGTGGTTGATATTTCACCAGTTATGAATCGCTGACAATCTTGCCACTCCAAGCACTCTGAAGTCTTTGAAGAATCCACTGATTGGCATAGTCCATCATAGAGTCTCCGTTGCCCTGTATTTCGCTACCAACATACAGCTGAGATGGTTGGTTGACCTGTTCTGTCTTCTCTCTTTTCTTGGTTAGGGTTGATGGAAAATGAGTTGGCACAGCTGGCCAACCATCTCCCTGTTGATTTGCACCCTGGGAGAAAGCAGGGAAGGGTACAGGGCTTTCTGACCCAGTCCTGAGGTTCACTGAGTTCTGGGCTTGTGGCCTTCACCTGTGGCTGGAAGACATTTTATACTTCTCTTGGCATCTCTTTCTCTCAAAACACACACTGAGGCACATACAGTGATAAAGAAGTGTACACAGAGGAACTAGAATCTCAACTCTTTATTCCAATAAAATGAAAATATAAAAACACTTTAAAATAGAAGCCTGATTTTGTAACTTTGTTCTGGGAATACTGATGTATTCTGCCACGATTGAATTGAGACACAATGCCTGTCTACTACACATCTTTGAAGTTGTACAACTTTGGGCGTGGGTCATTGAGATATATGCCTATTGACAAAGCTCAGGCTTTGAAAGTACACTTTCCAATCCTCTTGAGTCAATTACCAGACTTGTGCCACCATCACTACCACCTCAGACAAAAAAGACAACTTTGAACCCTAAGGAGGCTCATGTCATGGACCTGGGCACCCAGAGCCTGCCAAGCCCCCGTGGTGGTCTTCCTCGGAAGCGGCCTGCTCTGCATACGTCACAACAACGAATTCCCACCACATGTTCTATCTAGGGGTGACATTGGAGGAGATTGTATGTCAGACTCAGGAGCACCATGGCTACAGTTAGTATCATCCCAGGGATGCGCCAACTTCAACCTTTCTTTCTGGATCCTAAAGATTCATACAAAGCCATCGCCAGTTTGAAGGGCAGACAGGAATCCATCAGATGGGACACTGTCGTGACTGGTGTAGGTGGAGAAGCTACACATCCAGAGTGTTTGGGTCGATGTCCATGGGGGAACCATATATTTTCACCAACTCATCCAGGTCATCGGGAAGGGAGGCCCAGGGAGGCGAAGGATCCAGGACCAAGTCCTCCAGGTCGCTGGGCCAAGAGCCCAGCTGGCTGGTGTGTCCTGAGGCTGGTGGGGTTTCAGGAGGTGTAGATGTGGGTGCCTGGGAAGGCAGCACTGGCTGTGGTGGCAGCGGCTGCAGGTGGGAAGGTGTGGCCTCTTGTGGGTGGGGGCTGGAGGCTGAGGTCGGGCTGGAACCTGAGGTCGGCCCAGGCTTCTCCTGTGGCTTGGTGGGGGTGCTAGGACCCAAGGCCATTGGTGCTGGGTTCCTGGGAAGCCCTCCCTGCTGCTGCTTTTTCTGCTGCTGCCTGAGCTTGGCTCGCCTATTTTTAAACCAGACCTGCGGAGAGAGGGGGCACAGGTCAGTGTCTGTGGTGGAAAGAGAGTGAGGTGCCCGCATCCCAGGCCAACACTGCCTCGCAGCGCCTCTCCTAGGGACACATGCCAAAGGGAACTTTGCATGGCTCTCCATGTGACCCCGGGGCTCCTCTGGGGAGGTGACTGCTGTCCTGGACCCCAGTGAGGCGTGCAGGAGCCCAAAGCACCAAGTGTTAGTTATTTAAAACAGTTAAAGTTCTAGTTTTCCCGTTATTATGTGCAGCTAATTCCTGAAGCTTGTTTTTTTTTTTTACCTTATGCCGAAAATACCAGATGCAACACTGCACTTTAGGAGGTATTCCAGTAGGGCAGGACCCGGATGGAAGTGGTGGAAAGAGCAGCAAGGAAAACAGAATGTGGAGGCATCTCATTGCCTCAGCGGAGCAGGAACAGGAATGAGGGGGTGAAAGGGCTGCGGAGCAGAAGAGGCAGAAGGAGGCACCTGAGGCTCCTTATGTTCAGATGAGCCTGCAAGGCGTGAGAGGGGTGGTGCCTGATTGGGAGGGATTGAGGGCAGGCCCCAGGGAATTGGTACCTGCAAGTGAATGCCTAGGGATGATTGGTAAGTTGGTGGGGTTGGGGAAGGGGCTGAGAGATGGGGAATAGATTCTCAGGTGAAATGCCGGATTTTTCTGGTGAGCAGGTGGACTGGGTGAAGTTCATGAGCTGTGAGGAAGAGAAAATGTCACCTGGTCCAGGGTGGCAGGGTATAAGGCTCAGTGACGACCCCCAAATCGCTCCTTACATTCCTTCCTTTTGCTATTTATAAAGGAAAAGGAGTACTGTTTTCTGCTATAGCTTCTTAGAGCTGAATTTGGGTGCAGGATTGTCTAATCAGTGGTCTCCTGGTGGTCAGGGGAGGAATGCGAGACTGGGAGAGGCTCATAATCTTGCAAAACCAACCCTGGTTGGTAGTTTTGTTAATGATTTTTTTTTCCATTTAAGTGATGATAAATTTTTGAGGAAAATTAATGAGGCAAGGGGCCATGGTGAGCCCTGCAATGAGTATTAATCAGAGAGGCAAGTGTAGACATCAGAGGGGACTGAGCCCAGGAAAAACAGGAGTTACTATTAGTTCTAGACTGTTGAAGGTGTTTAACATTTTGCTCAATTATCCCTGATTTGTTAAGCATTCCTTGTGTAGGAACTTGTAGGTGCCTCCCTTTCTGCTGTAAGAAAGTGCAGGGCCCTTCTGTTCTGGAGAGTTACCTGAGCCAAGGAGGTGAGTTGGCGCTGGAGAGAGTGGTGTTATCTAGGGCTGATTTGAGCTCCTCTGACAGCTGCTCAATTGAGGTGATTGAGTATCCCAGGCTCCGTGCTGCTAATCCAAGAGAAGACAGGAAAGTAACCATGGCTGCCCCCACAAGTACTGGGGGGGGGGGGGGAGGAATGCATGCTTTGGACGCACTGATGAAGAAAGCATCCATGAGAGTTCTCCCTTGCTAAGTAAAGACAGTTGGGGCATGGTTACTACTGGGAGGCAGGAGCCAGGGGAGGTGGGATTGCTAGTGTTATCCATAGAGCCATTAAACCACATGAATGAGCTTTTAGAAGAGGAAGTAGGCTTGGTTACCTGAATTATGGTAGAGCAGGAGAGGGGTTTAAGGCAAGTCCTGGACGTGTTACAGCACATCAGGTTATGGGCTAGTGGGTTCCCTAGGGGAACAGCACCTAATGAAGTAACTGATTGGGAAGAGGTTGGGTTTGCTGCCTGGGTTGATAATGGGTACTGAAGCCAGAATGGGTCCCTGCAGTGAAGCAAAATAAGCACTCAGTGAGGCTGGGCAAAAAAGATGAGGAGCTGAGCATGTCTAAAGTCATAGTTAAAATTTTAAACCAGGAGGCGGGGTGTCGCTGCCCTGCAGCGATGGACTTGGTGCACGGAGCCAATAATAACACACGTGGACCCTGACTGATGGTCAAAGCCGAAGTTTATTAGGGGCATCAGACTTTATACACTGAGAGTTCATACTGTTTCCCTACTCCTGATTGGAATTCCTTTCGTTTTGTATATTCCACCAGGTGTTCTCATTTACATGCTGTTTATACAAAAGGTAGCCATTTGGTTGTTGTCATGCAAATACTGTCCAATGAACTGCAATCCTGTGCTCGCTGACCTTCCAGGGTCACAATGTCCTCCTACAGCTGGGGTATCTGATTTAGTATCTAACTCAAGGGAATTGGAAAGAGAGTCTCAGAATTAAGGAATATACAGGTAGGGACAACAGGATGTAAGGGAACAACAGCTGAGCTAATAATCCGAAAATGCAGAACTAGTCTGCAAATTCCAGAAGGCTTTCTTTTTTTAAATTTTTTAATTTATTTTTTATTATTATTTGAAAGGCGGATATACAGAGAGGAGGATCTTCCGTCCGATGATTCACTCCCCAAGTGAGCGCAACGGCCGATGCTATGCTGATCCAAAGCCAGGAGCCTCTTCCGGGTCTCCCACGCGGGTGCAGGGTCCCAAAGCTTTGGGCCGTCCTCGACTGCTTTCCCGGGCCACAGGCAGGGAGCTGGAAGGGAAGTGGGGCTGCCGGGATAGAACCGGCGCCCATATGGGATCCCGGGCGTGCTAGGCGAGGACCTTAACCACTTGCGCCACTGCGCCGGGCCCTCCATAAGGCTTTCTTACAGCTAGGATAGGAGTATTGTAGGGAGAGTTAGCAGGGTGTAGAAGACCCTTTCTTTTATTTATTTTTTATTTTTAAATTTTTATTTATATTTATTAATTATATTGCATTATGTGACATAGTTTTATAGGCACTGGGTATCCCCTCACCCCACTCAAACCCTCCCCCCATGGGGGATTAAAAAAAAATCAGACAGATCATTCAACCAGATCAGGTAGGATTCATCCCTGGAATGCAGGGATGGTTGAAAATTCGGAAATCCATAAATTTGATACACCACATCCAAAAACTGAAAAACAAGAATCACATAATAGTTTCAATACGCAGAAAAAGCTTTCAAAAAAATCCAATACCACTACATCCTAAAAACCCTAATCAAGAGAGGCAAAGATGAAATATTCCACAAAATAATCAAAGCAATATATGAAAAACCAAACGCCAGCATCATAATGAATGGAGAAAAAAAATGGAACCAATAAAACTGAGATCTAGAATAAAAAAAAGCTGTCAGATATCTCTGCTGATTTTCAACATAGATCTAGAGGAACCGACAGAGGCAATATGACAATACAAACAAATCAAAAGAATTTTGTTGCTTGGCAAGGACACTGGGGTGCAAGGCCACTGGTGCTGGGTTCCCAGGAAACCCTCCCTGCTGCTGCTTTTTCGGCTGCAGCCTGAGCTTGGCTCACCTATTTTTAAGCCAGACAGTGGAGAGAGGGGGCACAGGTCAGTGTCTGTGGTGGAAAGAGAGAGGGGTGCCCCAATCCCAGGCCAACACTGCCTCGCAAGTTTCTAATGGACACACAACCCACAAGGGAGCTATGCATGGCTCTCCATGAGCCCAACCATGGGGTCCAGACTGTGTGCTCACAAGCAAGGCCACCTGCCACCCACCCCCGCCCCACCCCTCCTCCTTACACAAGTGCGGACAGCAGACCAAGCACAGCACCTGCTCCTGACTTCTTGGAGGGAATCACACCCACAGGGCTCTGGAGGAGCCCCGCCCCCACCACACACGATTGGGACACAGAGGGACCTGCATGCACTTGCTAGCTGTCTCCTGGCCCAGCCCTGGCTGCTGTGGCTTGTGGGGAGTGAACCAGCCCGTGTAAAGCTCTCTCCTAGTCTCTGTTTCTCTCTACAACTCATGTTGTAGAGACGCATGACAAGAAATCCCCTTGAACTTGGTTCCCCATGCCCACACAGTCCACTGCTTGCCCAGTGTGTGCCAATTCCCCCAGTTTCCCGCCTATGGCCCTGCTTACCAGGCATGGTCATGGACAAGATGAAGTCTACGCAGGCGTCGACTTCTCCAGCTTCTGACTTGCTCTATCCCTCCCTCTCGGGGCCCACATACTTATGGAAGCGTGTGAAGGGATTGCCCCCAGCTGCCCAAGTCACACCCTGCCACAATCCCTTTTGCAAATGAGGTTTCCTTCAGGTGGGGTGCAAAATCCAATCAAACACACAAATGGCCAGTGGAAACTGGAGTTTTCAACATCAATTGTTCCAGGTTCAAGACACTTTTCTAAATAATGCTACCTGCCATTGAGGACCTCCGTGAGGTTGAGGGTCCTGGAACGGCAGAGTCAGAGAGAGTGAGAGGGAGACAGAGAGAGCGAGAGAGAGCGAGAGTGAGAGAGAGAGAGATCCACATTCATGGCCTTGGATTGGTTCACTTTCTGATAATCATCTTAGAGTTGCCTCAGCATTGGATCAGTCATTCATCTGAATCGATGTGGCATGGGATGCCTGAGCTCACAGCTGTAGGCGTAGTCTGCAGAGCCAAAGCACTGGCCCAGCTGTGTGTCCTGTACAGATGTGGTGGCTCTTTCTTTTTATACTCTCTCTTTTCATGTTTCTTACTCTTCCTTTTTTTTCTAAGTCAAATACTTGATGAGTTTTACACTTGCATTCACGAATGTGTTATGATATTGAAAAGCCTTGACCCAGCACTGCATGTTGTAGTCACAGGGCAGTGAAGCAGTGAATGCATCTCTCTCTCCTTTGAATTCCTTTTTGTTTTTTAAAAAAGATTTATTTATTTTTCAACTTCTTTTTGGGATAAACATTTGTTGATGTTGGTGCAAAAACCTTTTGAAATCCATGATCTTTCACAATACACATTCTCCATTGTATACATAGCTTTGCATACAAACACACACACCACACATACAAACATTATGCTCTCTCCACTACATACCCTGAATGTCACAGTTCCATAGCAAGCCAACTGTGTGGCCTAACTACCAAAGACCCACATTCCCCAGTTCTTGGCTGAGGGCCTCATGTCAGGAGGTGCGGGAGTACGAGATTCTGTGGCTCCACACTGCACTTGAATCTGCACGGATGTCATCTAAGGTAAGTGCAGGTCTTCTTGGGACTGAGAGTCTTAGCACGCTTTCTGGGGCCTTCTGATCCCAAAGCCAGGAGCTCAGAGGGCTTCGGGCTGCTGCTACTTCCAGAAGGCCACCTGTCCATCGTCACTGCAGGAAGCCAGAAGTGCCCGCTCCTTGTGCTTCCAGGCCACACAGTTGCCATCTTGGGAATGGGCCTGGCACAAATGGGCTGTCAGGGAGAAGGTGGGCTGCTGCGGGTCAGAGCTAGGATCCTCCTCAAACACTCGGATGGCATCGTCCCCACATGCTGTAGCCTGGGCACCTGTCGGCTGGCACCAAGCAATGTCATAGATGGCCCTGGAGTGGAAGCCGGACAAAGTGCCCACACACTTCCAGCTGGGGGCAGAGCCACTGCACACCAGTCCTTGCTTGTTGCCTGGTAGATACTGGCACCAGATGCGCACAGTGCGGTCATCACTGCACGATGCTAGCCGCTGGCCACTAGGGTCAAAGGCCATGCTCCACACGATAGATTCGTGGCCCTCCAGGGTGGCACAGCACACCCAGTCATGCTCTTCCTCCCGGTAGAGCTTCATGGTGCCATCGTAGCTGGCAGGGGCTAGTAGCTCCTGGCTCGGGTGCCAGACCACATGCTTGACATGCTGCGTGTGGGAGTTGAGAACACTGACACATTCGAATTCATCCTCTTCATCAACTACCCAAACCCATGCGCTCCTATCTCTTATCTCGGCTACAGGTGGCCAGGAGGTTGCCAGAAGGGGCCCAAGCCATGTGCTTGACCTCATTTTCGTGGTCCTCTAGTGTGGTGACACACTCAAAGTCATCCTGGGTCTTCTTCCAGATTCAAGTGGTGGCATCAAAGCTGGCGGAGGCCAGGTAGTTCCCACAGGGCGACCAGGCCACCTTCCACAGGGTGCGCTGGTGGCCATCAGAAAGGACAGACTTGCAGATCCAGCTGTCTGTCACCTTCGGTGCCCCAGACCCGGATTCTCTGGTCGCCACAGCACGAGGCCAGCAGCGTCCCCGTGGGGTTCCAAGCCAAGAACCAGCAGTGAGAGTCCGGGGACGCCAAGGCGCGGCTCAGCAGCACCAGCGAATCCTTCCTGGTGCCCAGGTGCACGGAGGGGAGGAGCAGGGAGCGCAGTCAGCCACACGGACAGCTGCTCCAGCCGCACACGTCTCCACGAAGCCCAGTGCCAAGATTTCTTTGTTTTGATTGGAAAGGTGAATATACAGAGGAGGAGAGACAGAGAGGAAGATCATGCGTCCGATGGTTCACTCCCCAGGCTGCCGCAACGACTGGAGCCGAGCCAATGTGAGGCCAGGAGCTCTTCCTTGTCTCTCCCTTGGGTGTAGGGTCCCAAGGCTTTGGGCTGTCCTGGACTGCTTTCCCAGGCCACAGGCAGGGAGCTGGATGGGAAGTAGGGCCGCTGGATAAGATGACCATCCTTTTTGTGGTCATCAAGCTTTGGCTTGGGCCTCCCGCAGGCGTAGTTCTAGTCCTGGCTCTGCTGCTCCTTGCTGCTGGGCATCCCGGGAGAAAGCTAGGGAGGACGCAGGGGCTAGGGCTGTGGCCACCCAGTGAGAGAGTAAGACAGAGCTGTGGGCTCGTGGATTTCACCTGCCCAGTCCCTGCTGTGGCAGGCATTTGGGATGTGGAGGGAAGGCTTCTCTCTCTCTCACTCTCTCTCTCTCTCTCTCACACACACACACAGACACACACACACAGAGACACACACTATCCCTCCCATTGAAGCGGATGAAAGACACCTCTCTCTGTTTCTCTTTCTCTCACTCGCGCACATTCCTCATCTGTGTGCTTTTCAGGAAAAAGACAGAGGCAGGAAGGTTTCAAAGACTATTCAGATTTTATTATTCTTGAATGAATACATTTAAGGATTCTTGTCAACATCGAGGACTGTCCAGGAATGGCCTTGTGTTTGCATGGTCACGTCCTGTTTGTACTCGAGTGGTCCATTCTTACTCGGGTGGAGTGTGAATTGAAGAGCTCCAAGTGGGAATTCCTTGGGGATCCTAAGTGGCTTCTGGAGTAGCTTCTGTCAGGTTGAACGACAAGCAGGGATCCATGCGGTGGAACACTGTGGTGACTGGTGTATTTGGAGAAGCTACATATCCAGAGTGTTTGGGTCGAGGTCGAGGTCAAGGTCGAGGTCGAGGGGGGAATCACACATGCTTATCACCTCGTCCATTTCTTGGAGAAGGAAGTCCCAGGGAAGTGAAGGATCCAGGACCAAGTCCTCCAGGTCGCTGGGGGAAGAGCTGGCCTGGCTGGTGTGTGCTGAGGGTGGCAGCGTCTCAGGAGATGTAGGTGTGGGTGCCTGGGAAGGCGGCTGTGGCTGTGGTGGCAGCGGCTGTGGCTGTGGTGGCATTGGCTGTGTCTGTGGTGGCAGCGGCTGCAGGTGGGAAGGTGTGGTCCCTTGTGGGTGGCGGCTGGAAGCTGAGGTCGGCCAGGGCTTCTTCTGTGGCTTGGCGGGCACACTGGGGTACAAGGGCACTGGTGCTGGGCTCCTGGGAAGCCCTCCCTGCTGCTGCTTTTGCTGCTGCTGCCTGAGCTTGGCTCGCTTATTTTTAAACCAGACCTGCGGAGAGAGGGGGCACAGGTCAGTGTCTGTGGTGGAAAGAGTGAGGTGCCCCCATCCCAGGCCAACACTGCCTCGCAGCGTTTCTCATGGACATACAACCCACAAGGGAACTTTGCATGGGTCTGTGCCCAGCCCTGGGCTCCTCTGGGGAGGTGACTGCTGCCGCGGACCCCAGTGAGGCGTGCAGGAGCCCAAAGCACCAAGTCCTGGTAGGCACTGCAGGTGCTGCAGCTGCCGGGAGCACTGGGTGTCCCCACCCTCCCCCATGACACCGACCTTGACAACAGTCGTGTCCAGCTTCAGCTCCTTTGCCAGGCTCTCTAGGGTGTCCCAGTCAGGGCACGGGGTCTTCTCGAAGACAGCTTTCAGGACCCCGAGCTGCTCGGAGCTGAATTGTGTGCGTGGTCGGCGCGCAGCATTTCTGGGGCCTGCAGAGGCGACAGACAGGAAAGTCAGGACTGCTTGGCTGGGACCCCAGCAGGTGGCGAGGGTCCATTCGCCAGCTGCACAACCTACTCCCCAAGCCATTGCCCCCCTCACACCCACTGCGTGGCTGCCCCGTGAACCTGTGCACAAGCGAGCCACCTCTCTGTCTCTCTGTCTCTCTCCAGTGAATGAAACTCACACTGGAAAGCAGAGCTGGGGGCAGGTTGCCACACTGCCCAGACCAGACTGTGTGCCCACAAGCAAGGCCACCTGCCACCCACCCCCGCCCCACCCCTCCTCCTTACACAAGTGCGGACAGCGGACCAAGCACAGCACCTGCTCCTGACTTCTTGGAGGGAATCACACCCACAGGGCTCTGGAGGAGCCCCGTCCCCACCACACACGATTGGGACACAGAGGGACCTGCATGCACTTGCTAGCTGCCTCCTGGCCCAGCCCTGGCTGCTGTGGCTTGTGGGGAGTGAACCAGCCCGTGTAAAGCTCTCTCCTAGTCTCTGTTTCTCTCTACAACTCTGACACGAAGGCAGCTCATGTGTCTTGAGACACATGACAAGAAATCCCCTTGAACTTGGTTCCCCATGCCCACACAGTCCACTGCTTGCCCAGTGTGTGCCAATTCCCCCAGTTTCCCGCCTATGGCCCTGCTTACCAGGCATGGTCATGGACAAGATGAAGTCTACGCAGGCGTCGACTTCTCCAGCTTCTGACTTGCTCTATCCCTCCCTCTCGGGGCCCACATACTTATGGAAGCGTGTGAAGGGATTGCCCCCAGCTGCCCAAGTCACACCCTGCCACAATCCCTTTTGCAAATGAGGTTTCCTTCAGGTGGGGTGCAAAATCCAATCAAACACACAAATGGCCA